TGAATGAGAGAGCAGAGACTTGGGCTGCCTTTTATAGCAGTCCTGCACTGCTTCAGGCACAGAGGCTTGTTGGTGGAAGTAATAATTTTCTGACCAGSTCATGTCAAATTAATCCCATCAAAGCTAATAATTGGGCTGTGTCCTGGTTTTCTTCACTGTTGCCTTTTCATTTCCTGGCTAATTCCGCGTGCTTTCCTATATGAAGATCTCTTTCTGTAAGTGYTGGGATGAGAGTATCATTGATTTCCAGGGCAGAAGGACGTCATCACAGGCAGAAGTTTCAGATTAAATGCTATTGGCATCCCCTGAGGGCAGGTGTTGTTTACATGTCTCATTCCTGTGGTCTTGTCTATGGCAAAGATATCAGGAAGTRGACACCACTCTTGTGTCTCTCTCCCACGTGGCCAAGCACTCCACCGTGAGTGGACATTTTCTGTCTCCACAACAGTGCTCTCAGCTAATGATGTTTCCTGGCCTTATTAGAGTGTTCAGATTTTTTTTTTAGTTGCAGGGCACATTCTTCATTATCTCCAAGGGAACAGGCAAAAGGTAAAGTCCACTGCAGGGACGCTCACCCTCTGCTTCCTGTATCCTTTTCCATGAGTAGGGTGGAATAGTTCCTATRGGGAATATCAGGGGCAGCCACCAAGATGCAGTGAAGATCCTGCAGGGTGTCCATCAGCATCTCCTGTGGAAGGAGGGCAGGCAACATGTCTTGGTTGYAGATAAGCCACACCTTATAAAACATGCCCTTGTTAACCTTGTAAAACTCTTGCTCTCTCCTATTACTTTGGCTAACCAGAGAAGGACTTTGTGAATGAATCAGCTAAACTAGAGGTGAGAAACAAGTTTCATAACCCTGGAAAACAAGTGATAGAGCTGGTGAGAGCTCACACCGTGGTGTGTCGTGGTTGGTTCTGACCACTGCGTGTTCCTAACTTGATTTATGGTGGTTCGTTCAGATGCTTTGCTGTGTTTCACAAGAATGTAACCTATAAAAAGCTAATGGTTTAAAAGACCCTGGATTTTTTGCAATAAATGTCTTCGCATACCAATGTGGAGTCTGTGCCTCAATTGCCGTGCRTCCCCACTAGACTGGCCTGGGGAGATAAAGCCAAAAAAGAAAGAGAAAAGTGGAAGAAGGAAATAGCAACCTAAGCTCTGTCATGTGCCCAAACGATGGAAATGCAGGTGAGAAGCATAGGAGAAGTGCCCCTTTCCTGACAACTTTGCCATAAACAAACTTACAGGCATGGCACACGTTCACATCACCTGCCCACAGGGGATTCCACCAGCCCTTGATCTGAGCATTGTGCCTATGCTGACGTCTTTCCCCCTGAAGTTCTTGAACCTCTCATCCCAACACTTGCAGAAATTTGCATAGAAGAAAGCATATGGAATGCACTAGGAAATGAATAGGTAGCAGTGCAGGAAAACAGGACACCGCCCCACCATTAGCTGGGATAGTTTGCATTTGACACGAGCAGGTGAGAAAATTATTAGTTGCACAAAGGTGCTACCAGGCCTGAGGCAATACAGGACTGCCATAAAAGGCAGCCCATGTCTCTTCTCTCTCATTCACTTCTCTCACCTCCTTCTCTGCAGGAATCAGGTGAGTGGGAAGCCTCTTATCCTCCTACTGCTTCAAGAGGGCTCTTTCCTGGCTGTAGGTCTCAGCTGTAAGGGGCATTTGGAGTCCAGGGCTGGGAGCTACGTCTCTGGGGAAAGGGGAAGGAGAGAAGGTCTTGTGTGGAGTGGGGCAAGGACTTGGCTTAGATGGTTCCTGGGCTCTGAGCTGGGCACTGCAGTGCAGGCCAGGAGGTGCTTTGGCTGCAGGGTGGTTGGGGCAGTGCTGCTTCTCACACGTCCCCGCTTTGTGTTTGTCCCTGTCCTCTGTGCCAGGTGCACCTGTGACCCTGAGCCATGTCCTGCCGCCCCTCCTGCAACCCTTGCTGCCAGCCCTGTGGCCCCTGCCCGCTGGCCAACAGCTGCAATGAGTGCTGTGTCCGCCAGTGTCAGGACTCCCACGTCGTCATTGAACCCTCTCCAGTGCTGGTGACCCTGCCTGGCCCCRTCCTTCAGTCCTTCCCTCAGAACACCGTGGTGGGATCTTCTACCTCTGCTGCGGTTGGCAGCATCCTCAGCTGTGATGGAGTGCCCATCAACTCTGGGGGCTTTGACCTCTCCTGCATCACCAACTGCTATGGTGGCAGCAGGTGTCGTCCCTGTTAAATCTGCTGCCAACATCCATGGGCAAGGTTCTCCAAGATCTCAGAACCTGGTTCTGGGCAGGAGATAGAGCTTTGGGACATTGTACTTAGCTTTTCAAGCCATTGTTCCCTTCTTCTCTCTATTTTTGCTCTTTCTTTTGCTGCCCGTGTCTCCTCACGCCAGTCTAGTGGAGGAGACCTGTTGCCCTACCTCCCTCTTCGGCCCAGGCAGTGGGACACCCCCCTGCATCGTAGTGACTGCTCCTGGTGCCTTTTCTGGGCCATGCTGGGTATTTTTTTTCTCTACACTCAATAAAGCTGTTTTGCATCCAAGCCTTGGCGTCTGAGTCCTCCTTCATTCTGTAACAACTCCTGCAGTCTGCTCAGGGAAAACAACCGGAGGAAACAAATGGTGGGATTTCCTGTAGTGTATTTTCCTTTGTGTCTTTTCTCTCGGAGCTGACAAACTCATCCCTGGCTGCTCGGCAGCCAAAGGCCATCAGGGAGACTGGCTCCAAAGTGTGGCAGGAATGGGGAAGGGCCAGCCTACAACCTCATCTCTTTCTTCTCCTCCACTTTTCACCTGGTCTGGGCTTCATGGCCAGCACACAGGACCACGGGCAGATAAGATGTACTCCTTCAGCACAGGCAGRCAGCTGTCCAGACATGTGGGGCTGAGACAATTCACAAGTCAGGATTGATATCAGCCATACTTGGGATGCGTAGTGTCAAATGACTTTTGGTTGAGTTTGTGCGAATGACTTATGGTTTCACTATAAATTCATATTCTTCCACATATGGATGGATGTTACCTGACCATCAATGTCTTCCCTTTTGAACAAAACAGTGCCCAAGAATATCAGACAAAGAATGATGATTCTGGTGAACAAATAGTCAGCCAGAGACAGCTCAGAGATCATGGAGTCATAAAAAGGTTTGGGTTACAATGGATTGCAAGGATCATCTAATCCCACCCAGCTGACAAAGGCATGGGTGCCTTTATCTGGACCAGGATGTTCCAAACCCCATAAGTGAGAGACTGGAAGGATTGCTGGCTTGGAACATTCCAGATGTTTTTTTGTGGAGGAAGGTGCAGCCTGGGATCTGCCCTGGTGAGGCAATGCTCTGGACCATACACCCCATTCCCCAGACCTGCATCCCAACCCCGCAGTGGCCACCAATCCCTGGAAAACCAGAGGAGGCAACACCCCACCCTTGCACCCCAATCTAGTCCCAGAGTGGCCAGAAGTTCTACTAGGACCCAGAAAAGTCAAAGGTTATTTAACCTGAGACACAAGGCAAGAACATGTTTTTGACCCCACCTCTTCTTGGAATTTCTATAAGATGGACAYCATTTGAACCAGAAATGGTAGCTATGTTTGTTCTTTTCTATTTATTTTCTTTCTCTCTTTCCCTTTCTTCTTCAAAATCCCCTTCTCAGAATTTTGAGTAACTGAAAATCAGAAGGGCTTAGCCTCTGTTAAATTGAATGGACTATTAATGCTTTGGGARGTGTTTTGTGTTGATTGGATGCTCCTTGAAAGCTTTAACCAAAGTTCTTTGATTTTCTTAAGTTGCCAGTAAAGACTTTTTGGGTTTTTGTGACCCCTTGAGAATATCTTGTTGATACTTTTCCCATGTGTCTAACTCAGAGTACATGAAAAACCAAAACCCTTTTAAATGTCACATTGAACAAGATTTTGGGGACCTTACACTTTAATTGGCATAGTGTGCAGGGTACTCCTGAGGTGATGAAGTATTTTATATGGAGATAAATGCTCATTGCAGAATTAAGGAGAAATTAATTTGTGCTTGAAAATTATATTCTCCAGCAAAAAGGTCATGGACTCCTAGGTGAAAAACTTTCTGACCTGTTCTCCACTGATGGAATTGCTAACAGCTTTTAATGCTTGTCCAGACTGATAAAGAGGGATGTGGGCTGAGAAAATCTGGCAAAATCTGCAGTTAGTTGCAGAGAAAACCGGAATTCTGGCAAAAGATGGGGGAAAAAACCCAGCAAGGGCAAAGGTCTGGTATCCAGAAGGGTATAACTCTTAAATATGTTGAAGAGCAGCAACAGAAAGAACTGATTGAGTTTCAAATTGCCTTGGAGGCTGAAACAACAGCCCACCTGAGTGCAGATGGAGAATGGAATGCCCAGAAGAAGCTAGCCCAAAACCTGAAAAACCAGTTAAAAAAAGCTTGTCCAGAGCCAAGGAGCTTTGAAGTGGCAAATTAACACTGCTGAGGGGAGGTGTGGGGAAGGAACTTGGGTTTTTCAGCCCTGAGGAAAAGGTGGGCTCAAATGTGATGTCACAACCCTTAGCCCTTGCCAGTTATTAAACAAATTGCAATTAAGCAAAACGAAATCCTCCCTGCACACTAAACTCCATCCATGAAAATTGAGGAGGAAGAGAGGGAGGCAGAACTCCCTGAGTATGGTGTTTCCTTCCTCTCCTCCCCAAAAAAGGGATTGAAGTCAGCAAAGCCAATAATCCTCCACTTCCTTTCACCTCAAGCTCTGCCTGCTAGCGAAGACAAAATTCATTTATCAGGAGGCAGAGTCTAGGGTAATAATAGCTCACTCTGCGACAGAGCTGGTTAAGTTACAAGAGAAAATCAGCAATTGTCCCAAAGGAAATGGAACAGAGAATGTTTTGAAAAATTCACTGATGGGAGGTTTAAGATAATTTAAAGAGGTGAGCACTCTAATATGAGAGTTGACATTAATGTTGACATTATCTTCCCTTAATGTCAACCAATCCCTTTACACTAGCAAAGAACAAAATATGAGCAGATAAARGTGAAAACATAAGTTTACTAATGAACAGAACAAAAATAACATTAAWTTACTGCTAGATACAAAATTGCTGAACCTCACCAATCCTATGGGAGCAAAGAGAGACATGAAATTACGAAAATATCCTTCCCAAGGTGGCGGCTGGCAGGGGTGGCCGCCGGGCTTGAAGGACAAGGGGAAGATGACATCACACCCTTTCCTTCCAAGATGTCCACCCTCCAGGCGACAATATGGTCCTGGTATCAAAGGGACAGGATAATGGTAAACCCTACTGGGGAAGGCAGGAGCCTACAGATCAGTTCTAGGGGCAGATGAAGACTCTCCAGCTCATGTGGCCCTGCATCGCTGCCACTTCCTCCTGCCATTTGTGGCGATCATGCTGCTTCTGTGCTCTGCACTGTGGCTGTGGTGGTGTTAAAAAATACACCAGTTTAAATTTTTTTATATAACTTTAGTCAAAGATATTGTTTACCTTTACCCTAGGGGAAGGGTGCTAAAGTTTCTTTGCAGGAAATAAAATAATGCCTTAACTTTCTAACATTAAAATGTTATTGGAGAGTTTTTGTTTTTCCCACCGTTTCAATGAGAGTGGTGGGGAAAAGACAGGTCTGTCCACACCAGCACGGAGTGGTCTGGTCCCAGGAACTTGCTCGCTTTTCTTTCTTCTGCCAAATTTTTCAAAGTTAATTTCAAAACAGTTTCTAATGGCAAACTGCAGTCCTTACAAGTGGCTACAGTTGTAAACCCAAAGCAGGCACCTTCATAGCCACCAGATCTCGCCTTCAGAAAAAGCTGCCATGAAAGAGTCTCTGTTTCCATGTCCTTCTTTYCTGGAGGGGGGCCGATCCATCTGGRCTGGCTTRCTGGAGTGGGTTTGCCCGTGGCGACAGGCAGAACCTGTGGGATCCACCTTCTGGCAGCTCAACACTGCTAACTATAGTCGCTCTGAGACAAGGGGAAAAATACTGAAAAGAGAACCCAAAAATGGAGAAGTCTCTGCCCAAGCAAGACCAAGAACCCAGCCAGGCAGTAGCCCATGGGAGTGTTCCGTTCACAGGAATGGGGACTGCACTGTGTAGACTGAATATGGTAGATACTGATCCCAGCTTGTGAATCACCTCAGCCTTGCATGTCTGGGAGGCAGCTGGGCCTTGCCAGGTAATGAAAGAGTGTATGGGGTGCATATCTCATCTGACTGACCATCTATAGTAACTGACCATCTGTGCTGACCAGGGAATGTAGACCGGGTGATGGAGGGGAGGAGAAGGCAGAGGCGAGGCTGGGGCTGTCCCAGGACCTGTTTCCCACCCCTATTGCTGCCACCCTTCAAAGTCAGGGTCTCTCTGAAGACCATTCTCTGTGGAGCAGCCACAGAAGATTTTGACAGCTCCAATAGAAAAAGGCACAAATTCACTGCAGGGAATCCCAAACTTTGCTTTCTCCAACTTTTCCCTTGAGCAGATTAGAAGAGTTGTCATGGAAAGAAGAAGGACTCGGAAGCCATGGCTTGGTTGCAACACAATTTTATTAAGCTTAAAGAAGAAAAGGAGGTGGCTCGCAGAGAGCACCTGGAAGACCCACTGAGACGCAGTGGAGCTTTTGCAGGGTGTCCATCTGCACACCCTAAAGAGGGAGGGAAGGCAACAGGTGCTCCCAGGTTGGTCTGGGGAGACACAGACAGAAAAAGAAAGAGAGAAAACAGAGGACAAGAAGGGGACAACGGCTTGAAATTCTAATTACAGTGYCCCAAAGATCTATCTTCTGGCCAGATTCAGGTTCTGAGGTCTTGCAGGTTCTTGCCCAAGGCTGTTGCCAGCAGATTTAGCAGGGAGGACAACATCTTCCACCATAGCAGTTGGTGATGCAGGAGAGGTCAAAGCCCCCAGAGYTGATGGGCACTCCACCACAGCTGAGGATGTTGCCAACAGCAGCAGAAGTGGAAGATCCCACCACGGTGTTCTGAGGGAAGGACTGAAGGACGGGGCCAGGCAGGGTCACCAGCACCGGTGAGGGCTGGATGGCCACGTGGGAGCTCTGGCACTGGCGGACACAGCACTCATTGCAGCTGTTGGCCAGCGGGCAGGGGCCGCAGGGCTGGCAGCAAGGGTTGCAGGAGGGTGGGCAGCAGGACATGACTCGGGGTCACAGGTGCACCTGGCACAAAAAACAGCAAAAAGTGAGGACACGTGAGAAGCAGCACTGCCCCCAACCACCCTGCAGCCAAGACACCTCCTGGCCCACACTGCAGTGCCCAGCTCAGAGCCCAGCAGCCACCTGAGCCAAGTCCCAGCTCTCTCTGCACAAGACCTTCTCTCCTCTGCCCTCTCCCAGCACAAGCAGCTCCCAGCCCTGGGCTTCAAATGCCCCTTTCAGCTGAGACCTACAGCCAGGAAAGAGCCGCTCTTAGAGCAGGAGAATGAGGAGGAAGAGAAGGAGGAGAAGAAGCCTCACACTCACCTGATTCCTGAGGAGAAGGTGAGAGAAGTGGATGAGAGAGCAGAGACATGGGCTGCCTTTTATAGCAGTCCAGCACTGCCTCAGGCCCAGTAGCACCTTGGTGGAAGTAATAATTTTCTGACCAGCTCATGTGAAATGTGAACCATCCAGCTAATAGTTGGGGCTGTGTCCTGGTTTCCTGCATTGTGGTCTTCATTTCCTGGCTTCTGCCACGTTCTTTCCTATATGAAAGGCTATTTCTGTAATTGCTGYGATGAGATGCTCAGTGATTTCCAAGGCACAAAGATGTTAGCACCGGTAGAATGCTCTGATCAATGACTGTTGGCATCCCTTGTGGGAAGGTAATRTTCACCTGGGTAATTTTTGGGTGGTTTGTTTACAGCAAAGTTGTCAGGAAATGGGCACCACTCTTGTGCTCCTTGCTCACCTGCCCAAGCATTGCCACATGAAGAGAGATGACAGAGCTTTTCAATGTCCTTTTCTTCTTCCACTTTGCTCCTTCTTGTCTACTGCTCTCTGTGTCTCCCTGGCCAGTCTMGTGGGGATGTGTAGCCTTCTCTCCCTCAGCAGGGATGGCTGATGGACACCCTGCAAGAGCTCCTCTGTGTGTTAGTGGCTGCTGCTGGTGGCCTCTGTGAGCCACCTCCTTTTCTTCCTCAGACACAATAAAGATGTGCATCCAAACCTTGCCCTCTGGGTCATCCTTCATTCTATGGCAACACTTTCAGTCTGCTCACAGAAAAACGTGGAGAAGCTCTGGATTGGAGTCCCTGCAGTCGATTTTACTTTGTGTCCTTTCCCTTGGAGCTGATTAAGAACATCCCTGGCTACTCCCCAGCCAAAGGCCACCAGGAAGATCCTGGAAGCAAAGGGTGTCAGAGAATATGGGAAACAATCTTCACTGCAGGGGAACAACTTCATCCCTCCTTCTCCTCCTCTCCCATATCCACTCCATGAGCAGCACACAAGGTCCAAGACATGACACCCTTTGTAYACCTGGACCTCCTACACTCCTTCAGCACCTGGCAGGGCCCAGGTGCTGTCCAGACATGTAGGGCTGAGGTGATGTACAAGTTGGGATCAGTGTCTGCCACAATCAGGCTGTGCAGAGAACAGCAATGTGTAACATTTGTCCATTGCTCCTCCATGTGTCAACATCTCACACAGCTATAACCTCCCTTAAAATGCAATAGCATGGAACAGGTTTTTTATGCCTAGGAGCACACCAAGTTACCTATAGGATGGGTTTTGCTGTGTGGCTGACTGCCTACTCGTGTGTTCTGGCCAATATTTCCAGAGGGCCCAGCGCCACTGGCTGATTAATTCCTCTGCTACTTGACCAAGAGGGTTTAAAGCACAAAAGAAAGAACCACTGAGCKTATCAGTTGTCAGAGGACTGTGATCCTCCAGTTACCCTATATAGTGAGAGTGAAATGATTCCTGCTGTCTTTTGAACACCTGGAGCTGTGAAGTATCACACCATAAAGAGAATCACTTGTGCTTTAGTTAAAGATATAAATTATACTTCACAAGCATTAACGGGTCTGAGTAAAGAAATTACAAAAGACAGAGAAAATGCCCTTGAAAATAGAGCAGAAATTGACTACTTGGTGTTGAGACATAATCATGGACATGAAGAATTTAAAAGAATGTGTTGGTTCACTCTTTCCAATAACTCCCAACTAATAGAAAAGAAAGAAACAACTAAAGAAACCAGCCACAAGTACTACAGAGAGAGAAGGACTAGATTTCTCTCGGCTGGTTTCRTGGCCCAACACTGCTCAACTTAGGCTGGTTAAAACACTTTGTTACACTTGCTATGATGGGATGTGGTACTCATGATCTAAATCACTTGTTGTATAATTCAGTGCTTACTGCTGTGTAGACTCGGTTGAAAAAACAACTGGATATGACTCCTGAAAGAAATATTAAAGTCTCAAAGGGGGGATTTATTCTTTCTTCAAGAAGTCCTTGCAGCTGTGGTAGAAGATGGTGAAAACGTCTTTTGACTTTAGCACATAGTGTATGATCCCTGTATTCGTGRTTAATGCTTAATTTTGTAGCAGACAGTGCTTAGTACAAATAYCAGAGATTAATGTGGCCTCGTGTTAATTCCCCAATATCTGTGAATAATAATTCTTGTGCCAGCTAATGGTTCCTTATTTACTTGTATCAGGGAGTTTACTTGTACCAGCCAATATCTTAGTTTTGAGAGCAAGGATTGTGTGTCAGAGTGGAGAATGATAAGAGAAGTACATTATGACCACATACTTGAGATATTCTCACGGAGAAGATTCATCAGAAGATCTGGAACCATATCCAAACAAGTCCATTAGCATGTATGCAGGTATTCCAAAAAAGTGATGAATATGTACTGGTTTTAAGACTGTTGGATTGCTGGGCATKCTTTGAGGAGTTATCTGCATGTATCCAGAGCTGCTAATAAAGTAATGTCAGCTTTCTGACCCAGGAAATCGGTTGGAGAATTGCCTTGGTTTGAAAGACAGGTGTCTGCCAAGGAACCTCCCTTGGAATGAAAAACATAGGCCCCCTTCCCTCTGAATTATTACAGTTTTGAAATGAAGGGTTTTTCAGGCAAAGATATGGGAAAAGGAATAACAGTTCTTGACTAGAGTGTGTAACAAGGCAAACAAACAGCAAACAGAAGCACAAACCCAGCGCCAGCCTCCCCCGGGCTGTGCCGCGCCCTCCCCTCGGTGCAGTTCCGCTCGCAGCCGGCGGGGGGCGCTGGGGGCGGTGATTCCTCCCCGCCGGCAGGGGGCGCTGTGGCGCGGGCTCGGCCGCCTCTCTCCCTCACGCGGTGATGGCGGGCGCGCTGGAGGGCGGAGTGGGCTGGAGCGGGAACCTCGGAGCGGCGGCTGGAACGGCAAAGGTAGGCACATCCCAGGATGGCAAACAAAAGGTATCAGAAAACTCTGCAGCTTTAGCAGGGCTGTGGGGGATCGGGCGGACCCGGGATATTGGGTTAAAGTGTAGCGAAAAAGCCAGAGGCAGAAAACAGTGGGGCTGGGCCGAGGCAGCCAGGCTTCTCTGTAGGAGCTGCTGCACACAGCCGGGGGGACAACACCTCCGGGAAGAGTGGAGGGGGTCAGGGTCCTGGGTTTTCCCCTGAGGCACCCCAGTAGATGGTGAGGGTCCTCTCCAGTCAAATTGAGTGTCAAACTGGGTTTTCCTAGTTCCATGTCTGCTCTTACGATCAAAGGCTCACCCACAGTAAGGAAGGGGCAGTACAGGGCTGGGCTTCTGCAGTGGGCAGTGATTTCTCCCTGCAGTAAGTAAGAGGGATTGTATGAGGTGTGTATCTCATCTGCCTGTGCTGCTGTGTGCACGCTGTGGACCCTACACCGGGCAATGGAGGGGAGGAGAAGGTGGAGGTGAGGTTGTGGGCTGTTCCCAGGCATTGCTCTGTCCCAGATGTTGGGAGGAAAAGAACTGGAGAGGAGGGTGGTAGATTTGCCCAAAGTGACTTTGTAGCTAGGGAGGCTGAGAATATCCATGTGGGAAACTTAACATATTTACAGCTGATTATCCTCTGACTCTTTTGAGTGATATAAAAGCCATCAGAACCTTAAGAGGCATCTCTCACAGTCTTGAGCCTCCTGCTGAGGCACAGAGAGATCACAAAGCTCAGAAGCCATAAAAGCACAGCATTGTGGTAAACTGTGCATGCATGAGGTCCCTTGAGATACCGGGACAGGCAGAGACCCTCCAGGATCAGACTGACCCTAATGGTGTCTCTGTCCCCATTTTTGTGTCTCTGCAGCCTGGCTGTGCCTTGGGACCTTTCAGTCAGTTCAATAATGAAATAAATCTACTCTTTGCCTTTCAGCTGGTGATGTGGACATTATAAGTCACACACCAGCCCATTCCTGCTACCCTTTGGAGCCTCGGTGCTCCCGATGGCCATTGACTGTGCAGTATCCAGGCAGGTTTTCCTCAGCTCCAGGGGGAAGTTTACAAAGTAAAATTCACCACAGAGACTTCCACTGTCTGCTTCTCCATTTTTTTTTTCCTGAGCAGACTGGAAGAATTTCCAAGGAAAGAAGGAGGACTGAGAGGACAAGGCTTGGTTGTGCATTTAATTTAATGAGTTTTTAGATCTGAAGGAGGTGGCTTACAGAGAGCACCAGGAAGAGCCACTAAGATGCAGTAGAACTTCTGCAGGTTGCCCATCTGCCTGATGGCAGAGGGAGGGAGGTAGGACAACACATCTCCACCAGGCTGGCCTTGGGACATATGGAGAGCAAAGGAAAGGGAGAAAAAGTAGAAGGGAATAATGCCATGAAGTTGTAAAAAAAATACTCCAAAGCTCTATCTCCTGACCAGAACCAGGTTCTGAGGTCTTGGAGGTTCTTGCCCAAGGTTGTTGCCGGCAGATTTAGCAGGGACGGCACCTGCTGCCGCCATAGCAGTTGGTGATGCAGGAGAGGTCAAAGCCACCGGAGTTGATGGGCACTCCACCACAGCTGAGGATGTTGCCGACGGCAGCAGAGGTAGAAGATCCCACCACGGTGTTCTGAGGGAAGGAGCTGAGGATGGGGCCAGKCAGGGTCACCAGCACCGGGGAGGGCTGGATGGCCACGTGGGAGCTCTGGCACTGGCGGACACAGCACTCATTGCAGCTGTTGGCCAGCGGGCAGGGGCCGCAGGGCTGGCAGCAAGGGTTGCAGGAGGGTGGGCAGCAGGACATGGCTCGRGGTCACAGGTGCACCTGGCACAGAGGACAGGGACAAGCACAAAGTGAGGACACATGAGAAGCAGCACTGCCCCCAACCACCCTGCAGCCAAGGCACCTCCTGGCCCGCACTGCAGTGCCCAGTTCAGAGCCCAGGAGCCACCTGAACCAAGTCCCAGCTTCTCTCTGCACAAGACCTTCTCTCCTCTGCCCTCTCCCAGCACACGTAGCTCCCAGCCGTGGGCTCCTAATGCCTCTTTCAGCTGAGACTTAGAGTCAGGAAAGTGCTGATCTTGAAGCAGAGGCAGAAGGAGGATGAGGAGAAGAGGCTTCCCACTCACCTGATTGCTGAGGAGAAGGAGGCAAGAGAAATGGATGAGAGAGCAGAGACTTGGGCTGCCTTTTATAGCAGCACTGGCTCAGGCCCAGAGGCTCCTTGGTGGAAGTAATAATTTTTGGACCAAGTAATGTGAAATGCAAACTATCCCAGGTAATTGTAGAGACTGTGTCCTGGTTCTCTGCACTGCTGCCTTTTCATTTCCTGGTTAATTCTGCATGCTTTCCTGTATGAAAGACTCCTTCTGTAATTGCTGGGATCAGAAATTGAAGGATTTCCGGGGCAGAAACAATGCTCAGTGCATTTAGAATACTCAGATCATTGGCTGGCAGCATCCTGTGTGGGCAAGTGATGTCCACCTGTGTAATTCCTGTGGGTTTGTTTCTGTGCAACTTGTCAGCAAATGGGCATCACTCTCATGCTTCTTACCCTCATGCCCACAGACTGGCATGGGAGGGGACATGACACATCATTTTCTTTTGGTTTCCCATCTCTCGTTTATGGTCACTCGTTGCACATTGGTGTACATCTGCTGGGAGGGTTGGACCCAGTTCCTGCTCCAGCAGTGCTCATGACAAATTTTGTTGGTCTCATTTGGTTCATCCTCTTTCTGTGCCCCCTCTGTGGGTCTTCTGGGAATATCAGGTGCTGTCAGGGATGTGATCCTTCTCCAGGATACCTTTTCTGCCGCCTTTTTCCCCAGTATCTCCTCAACAGAGTTCCCAGAACTGCACATCTTTTCTGTCTGTTCTTGACTCTTTGCTGACTCTGTGAGCATACAGACCTTTGCATTATTCCATGTAGGTGTATTTGAGCACATATGTGTCATTCTGTGCTTGCGTGACCCTCCTGAGGGCATGTGCAGGTCAGAGCAGTGGGACTCTGCCCTGGTGTGTTCATGATCTCACAGAGAAACATGTTCTCTTTGACATCAGGAATGGAACTTGGCATGGAATCTGCAGCTGAATGGTCATGGCTTCAACCTGGCAGAAAACTAGCACTTAAATCACTTTCTGCCTCCTGCACTCTCCGTTTCTTGTTTCATGGAAAGGGAGGAAGACCAAGGAAGCCTGCCCTCTTCTGCAAGTTTGTGTCACTCAATCCCCACTTAATCCGTGTGATGTTTCTGGTGACCGGGATGGGACACAGGCTTCACCTGCCTGGGCCAATGCCAAATGCACTTGTACAGCTCAGCAGCCTGGTACTGAGTGAGCAGCGCTGAGACCCCACAAGGGCATTTTCCAACCCCTCAAGCACTTTCGGCTTTGGTATAGTTACAACCACATCTAGCAGGGGGTGGTGTTGGCCCGTGTGAGGCAGAGAGGCTGCAGCGACTCCCCCACAGCTGGAGGGTGCTCTCCTATCCAAGATGGGGACATCCCTAGTGATGGCAGCTCAGATGAGGGAGAGGAAGAAAGGTTGACAATCCCTGGCACCCACATGAGCAGTGATCAGTCTTCAGCAGCACTAATGGCAGCTGGTACACGCTGGGAAGGGAGGCAGGGCTTTATCATCATGTTGCACTACCCTACAGAGAAGAGGTCTGGCAGGGATGTTCCTCCAGCTCCAGGCAGCCCTCCATGTAGTGTCTTCAGGGGTTAGGGGGGAAGGGACGACTCCCCCATGCACCCAAGTAAATGTTGGTTTCTCAATGATTCTCTCTTGCAAGCAATGGACTCACAAGCTGGCTGCAGGCAGAGATCCACACCAGTGCCGAAAAGAAAATCACTGTGCAGGAGAGGTCCAAGGTGAAGATGCACCACGCAACCATTTATGTTCTCAACCCGGAAAAGACTCAACTAGAAACATCAAGTCCAACTCCTGGCCCTGCACAGGACACCCCAAGATTCCCACTATGTACCTAGGAGTTGTCTAAATGTTTCTTCAGCTCTGTCAGGCTTGGTGCAGAGACGACTTCCCTGGGGAGCCTGTTCTAGTGCTCAACCAGCAACCACCCTCTGAGTGAAGAACTTTTCCCTGACATTCAACTTAAATTTCCCCATCTCAGGTGCAGCAGTTTGTTCAGGTTTTATCACTGGTCATGAGAGTGAAGGGTTTCGTTCCTGCCCCTCTGCTGCCCCTTAGGAGGATGTTGAAGACCACAATGAGGTCTCCCCTCAGTCTCCTCCAAGCTGAGTGGGCCAAGTGACCTCAGCCACCCTTCATGCAGCCCCTCCAAACCCTTCCCAGCCTTGTGGCTTCCTTTGGATACTCTCTAGTAGCTTATTGTCTTTTTCATATTGTAATGCCCAAATGGAGTCAGGTGCAGGGGCTGTCTACAAGGGTCACACACACAGTGAAGAGAAACTGGAGATGATTTGGTTCTGAGGCCAGTGCTTGGGCAAGAGGTCTCACTACAAGCAGGTGAAGCCATAGTTTTGTGCCATACCCCATTAGATGGAGAAAGTCACTAACTCTGCCCAAAGATATAGGTAGAAGAAGCATGTGTAGAAGCTCACATGCATCACAGAGTGCTATGAACCTGAGCTGGTATTTCGAGCCCAGCAATGCCTTCAGGAGTTCATTTTCTGCACCCAGAAGAACGTGGATACAAAAGGGATGACATGATTTGGAGCACTGTCTGGGACAGAAGGCCAAGGACTGAAAAGATATTTTCAGGTGCAGCTAAAAATATTATTAAATGTTGGGATGTGTAGTGAAACCACAAGTCATTTGCACAGGGAAGATGGAAAGCTGGAACAAAATATTAGATCCTTTTGAAAGTGTTGGGTTCACAGGGATGGGGTCTGTACTGCACAGATTGAGTGTGCTACCAATCCTAACTTGTGAATCACCACAGTCCTGTGTGGCTGTAGAGCCGCTCGGTGCAGCCAGGCGCCGAGGGGCTGTGTGAGGTTTAGATCTCATCTGCTTGTTCCCAAGTGTGCTGGCCACAGACCCTAGGCCAAGTAATTAAGAAAGGATAGAGATGAGATTATAGACTGCCCCAGGAATTGTTGTTTACAATCCCCACTCCTGAAACACTTCGAAGCAATGACCTCTAAGATGGCCTTTGGCTGCCAAGTAGCCAGGAATGTTCTTCATCAGTTCCAAGGCAAAGAGCACAAAGTAAAATTCACTGCAGAGTGTGCACCTACTGCTTCCTCAAACTTTGGACCTCACCTCCCTGGAGGAGATGCCACAGAAGGAAGGAGAACTTAAGAGAACCATGATTGGATGCAAATCGACTTTATTGAGTGAAAAAAGAAAAGAAGAAGGCTTACAGAGGACACCAGGAGCAGCCACTAAGTTGCAGTGGGCGTGTCCATCTACCCGGGCTGCAGAGGTGGGGAGGGAGGGACTCCAGCAGGCCCATCTAGGCTGGCAATGGGCGGTGGTGACAGGAAAATAATGGAAGGGAAGAGAGTGGAAGCAAACAACACTAAACCAAGGGCAAAAATAGATTTTTCCAAAGATCCGTCTTCAGTGTAGCTCCATGTTCTGAGGTCTTGCAGGTTCTTGCCCAAGGTTGTTGCCGGCAGATTTAGCAGGGGGGACAACATCTTCCACCATAGCAGTTGGTGATGCAGGAGATGTCAAAGCCGCCAGAGCTGATGGGCACTCCACCACAGCTGAGGATGTTGCC